AAGGGAGGGAGGGAGGGAGGGAGGGAGGGAGAGAGAGAGAGAGAGAGAGAGAGAGAGAGAGAGAGAGAGATCCCACATCCTATAAGACAAGTGTGGCCTCTCAAGGGAGAGCGCCTTTGTAGTGTGGCTGCATGTCTAAAGGTTGATGAGAAGCCCCTGTCCCTTTAAAACTACCCAGAGTATAATTTGTTAAGAGGTTAAAGTAGCACAGCCTAATTGCTGTAGTGGAGCATCCTTGACTGAAGCATCTCTGGGAACAGCGCGTCATCTGGCCCTGCACGAGCACAGTTCAAGGTCGTTTGGGAACACACATTGCCTCTTTTGACCATTAGATCCTCATCAGTAAAGTCTTAAGTCTCCTGCCTTTCTCAGCAGTAAAAGTAGGTCAGTCTGGAGAAGGTCCTTCTCTCTCTCACCCCCTTCTTTCCATTTCAACATCACTCCTTATCTTTCTATCCTGCCTCAATTCCCCTACTTAATTCCTTATCTTAAGAAAATTAATTTTTATTTATATGAGTATTTTGCCTGCATTTATGTCTGTGCAATATGCATGTACAGTGCCTACACAGGCTACAGGAGAATGTCAGATCCCCTGGAACTGGAGTTACAGATGGTCGTAGCCTGCACGTAGCTGCTAAGAACTGAATGCAGGTCTTCCAAAGCCACAAGTTCTCTTAATGCTGAACCATCTCTCCAGGACCCAGGACCTTAATTTTAAGGGCTGCAGAAGACTGAATATCCATCTTTTATAACTAATTTATAGGAGAATAAAGATGAAGGCCCTGCCTATCCAGTGATCAAAAGTCTCAATTTGTCTGGGCTTAGGACACATTGAAAGATTTTTGGAGCTGGGGGTTTAGAGGGTCATCATTCAGGGGGATTCATGGGGTATCATTAATTGGTACATCAGACCACATAGACAATACATCATGCAACATATTATTACACCCAATCCTAAAATTGGTGCTCAAAACAACAGGGCCTTCTTCCACAAAGGTACCTGAGAACTGTGATGTTAGCAAGTCATTAAAACCTAAAGCAAAATCTCACATCTCATTGACTATAGAAATCTTGGAGAAATGAACACACTTGGAGAAATGTCCAGGCATAAATACACATCATTTTACTTTATTAATGTGGCACAGTTCTCCCTGTGTCATCAGTATACAAAGACAGTCTGGCTTGTGTCACTCCCCATGAGCTGTAGTAAGGACACACTGGTGACATGCTGATGCTCTGGCAAAACAACAGAGAACAATTTAGAGAAAAAATCCAATGATGGAATAAATTAAAAGGAAAATGTATGAAGCTATAATCAATAACGTATATCATTTCAACAATGTCTAAAAGACAAACAAGGGAGCAAGCCGAAATATAAGGTAAGGTTACAACAGAGTCTTACATTCTTTCCTGAGTTAGTTAGGAAATTTGTTAATAAACTGTGCTTATACTCGAGTTTAGAATATTGGTATTCCAACTATTCATAGTGTCAAAGCCTTAGAATGAGCTGTGCGGTGCTTTGAATAAGAATGGCTCCCATAGGCTCGTATATTTGAATGCTTGGTCATCAGAGAGTGGCGATATGTCAGAAGGATTAGGAGGTGTTAGAGTACTTGTGGCCTTTTTGGAGGAAGTATGTCCCTGGGAGTGGGCTTTGAGGGTTCAAAAGCCCATGCAAGGGGGCTGGAGAGATGGCTCAGAGGTTAAGAGCACTGACTACTCTACCAGAGGTTCTGAGTTCAATTCCCAGCAACCACATGGTGACTCACAACCATCTGTAATGGGATCTGATGCCCTCTCTGGTGTGTCTGAAGAGAGCGACAATGTACTCACATACATAAAATAAATACATCTTTAAAAAAAAAAAAAGCCCATGGGAAGCCCAGTCTTTCTCTGCTGGGATGGATTATGTTATAGTTCTCAGTTACTTGCCCAGCGTTTGCCCACATGCCACCATTCTCTTGCCATAGTGAGAAAGGACCACAGCTCTGAAATTATAAGCAGCCCCCCCCCCCCCCGTTTATGCTTTTCTGGTAAGAGTTTTCATTGGCTATAGTGTCTCTTCATAGCAATAGTACAACTAAGACAAATTGTTAATATTAAGTGTCTTACTTAACTTAGTTACACAGTAAGAGTTAGCCCAGGTGTGTGGATACTTATCTGAAATGGTTCAAGTGATGCTTTTATCTGGGAATCTAAGAGAGCATCTTCAGGTCAGCCATCACTTGAGCTAAAGGCCCAGTCTCTCTCTAGGGGGTGGGACACCATCCCTTACTAGTAGTTTATCCCTTAATAGTAGAGGAAGAGGTTCTGAGAGCCCTGCTTCTTAGAACACCGTTGTTTTAGCCATTGTTCTATTGCTGTGAAGAGACACCATGACCAAGGTGACTTTTAAAAGAAGACTTATTTATGTCTATGAGTGCTTTATCTGCATATATATCTGCGTGTCCAGAAGACGGCATCAGATACCTTTACAGATGGCTGTGAGCCACCATGTGGTTGATGGGGATTGAATTCAGGACTTCTAGAAAAGCAGCCAGTGCTCTTAACCACTGAGCCATCTCTCCAGTCCCAAAATTTGATGATTGCTTCCCCCAGCCCCCAGACAGAGTTTCTTTGTCTAGCCCTGGCTGTCCTGGAACTTACTTTGTAGTCCAGGCTGGCCTTGAACTCAGAGGTCCACCTGTTTCTGCCTTCCAAGTGCTGGAATTAAACTATCACCTGGCTAAAGGCAACTCATAAAAGAAAGCAATTTTTTAAGATTGTTTGCTTGCAGTTTCAGAGGATTAGTCTATGATCATCATGGCAGAAAGCAGGCGGGCATGGTGCTTGAACAGTAGCTGAGAGTTTTACATCTTGATCAGTGGCAGCAGGCAAAGAGAGAAAAACTGGGCCTGGCTTAGGTTTGTAAAACCACAAAATTCACCCCCAGTGACACGCCTATTCCAAGGTTGCACCTACTCCAACAAGGTCACACCTCCCAATCTTTCTCAAACAGTTTCACTAACTGTGGACTAAGCATTCAAGCATATGAGCCTATGGGCGCCATTGCCATTTACACCAGCATACCCAGTGAGAGCAGTTCTCTTTTAGTCCCTGGGTTTTAAAACAGGTTCTTTAAAGGGAAGATTCAAGGAGGCTGGAAAGGTGGTACAGCTGTTAAGAGCACTTGCTGTAGAGGACCTGAGTTTGGTTTCCAGCACCCACATGGTAGCTCACAACAGTCTGTAACTCTAGTTCCAGAGGACTCAATGCCTTCTTTTGTCCTCCATGGGCACTGAATGCATCTACATATATGCCGGGAAATACCTACACACATAAAATTAATGTAAATACATTTCTTAAGAAAGTAAAAGAGCTGAAGCACCAGGAAGGAGTGGATAGCCTGTGAATCAAGAGTTACATGCAAAACATATCAGTTTTGTCCCATGTATAAACAAAGGTAGTTGCTATCTAATAGCTATCTTCTTTTAATATTTATTTATTTGTTATGTAGTGTTCTGCCGGCATATATGCCTGCAGGCCAGAAGAGGGTGCCAGATCTCATTACAGATGGTTGTGAGCCGCCATGTGTTTGCTGGGAACTGAACTCAGGACCCCTGTAAGACCAGTCAGTGCTCTAAACCTCTGAGCCATCTCTCCAGCCCTTATAGCTATTTTCTAATAAAATCAGCAAGAAGATTGAATTCTGATAGTCTAAAACAACAACCACATATAGTAACTGAAAAGAAGTTGAAAAAACCTAGAACAGAACATTTAAAATTATGTTTTTGAAGTTACATGATGACAAGTACATTTTGATTACATACTATCTATTGAAGACAAGCAATACAAAAGAATAAGAAATAATTGTCAAGAGGTGAGGGCAAAGAAATAGAGAGAAAGAGAAGAAAGAAAGAAAAGAAAACATGAGGAGAAAAATGAATAGAGTGGAGATGTTAAGTAATAAATCATAGCTGTAACTTACAGCTTTCTGTTACCAAGGCTCTGTCTCCAGAGATGTTGTCATCTTCCTCTACAGCAGGACCAACAAGATAAGGAGCTGAGAGATGGAGAAAACAGGAATACAGTGGCTAGAGCGTTCAGGCCTCCATCACCTGTGATTCTCTCTCGCATGTGTGTGAATCTCTGCCTGTCTTTTCTCACAATTGTAGTTTAATGATGAGAAGAAATTAATGAACTTTCATCAGAATCTTCAGGATGTCAAAGAAGACCAGCTTAGTTTGGCCTCAATTCACTACATGCGATCTCATTATCAAGAAGCTATTGATATATACAAGCGGATACTGCTGGATAACAGGTCTGTGTTCTTTCCTGACCACTTCAAATCTGTGCCTGTTTATTAGTTTTCTTTGTTCCCAGTTTGTCTTAGAACCTAGTACCACCATGTATTCAAATCTATTTCATTGATAATCCGATGAGGTTAAGAACGCTTTGTATATTGTTCACATAAGACTTTCTCTACCCTTTTTCTCTTGTTGTTTTGCTTTTAGTTTTATTGCTTTATGTGTATAGGTGTTCTGCCTGTATGTGTGTGCACCAAATGTGTGCCTGGTATCTGTGGAGGCCTAAAGAAGGTACTGCCTTCCCTAGAACTGGAGCTACATATGGTTGTGAGCTGCCATGTGGGTATTAAGACTCAAACCTAGGTCATCTGGAAGAGGAGTCATTGCTTTTAATCACTGAGCCACTTCTCCAGTCCCTTTGGTTTTTGAGACAGGTTCTTACTATGATTCTGTCCTGGACCTCTTATGTAGATCAGGTCAACCTTGAACTTACAGATCTCCTCCTGCTTCTGCCTCCAGAGTACTGAGATTAAAGGAGTGCCATCCTCCTTGGCCTCTACCTTTTTCAGTAGCATCTCTCCTTTCTAAGGAGCCATTTAAATGCCTCCCAATTTCCCATAAAATGTATATATTGACATGTTTACTGACCACTATAAAATATATATAATATTTTTATTTAAATTTTTGAAAATGTATGACCTTGGAGGAGGGGAAAAACTGGTTAGAATGAAATGTAATGATTCATATGTATGTGAACGCCATAATAAAACCTGTTACTTTGTATGCTATCTTTAAAAATTAATAATAATTTATAAAATATCAACAAAAAAATGCATTATTTAAATCTGGCCAAGGCAGCATGCTACTGTAATCTCACTACTTTGGAGACAGAAGATGCCCTTTACGGCCTCCATGGCACTAGGCACACACGTGGTATGCAGACATATATGTTAATAAATGAAAATCTCAGTTTCTTTTTTTTAAATTATGACACGTATTTATATTAAAAAATAATATTTACATGCCTGTTTTCCAAATTCCCTTCAGAGTGGCTCCTTGAGTTCTGTTTATAGTATTTTAGGTCTTTTCTTGTCTCAAGTTCCAAATATTTCCACATTCTTCACCTAAGCCAGTTTCTTTTTTTTTTTTTATGGATATTATATTTACATTTCAAATGTAATTCCCTTTCCCCATTTTCCCCCAACCCAGGAACCCCCTATCCTATCCCCCCTCCTCCTGCTTCTATGAGGATGTGCCCCACCCACCCACCTCCCCACCCATAATTTCCTCCACACTGGGGCATCCAGCCTTCACTGGACCAAGGACTTTCTCACCCACCTATGCCTGACACTGTCATCCTCCCCTACATATACAGCTTGAGCCATGGGTCCCTCCCTATGTGCTCCTAGGCTGGTGGTTTAGACCCTGGGAGCTCTGGTTGGTTGGTATTGTTGCTCTCCCCATGGGACCACAAACCCTTTCAGCTCCTTCAGTCTTCTCTCTAACTCCTCCATTGGGAACCCCTTGATCAGTTCAATGGTTAGCTGTGAGCATTCACCTCTGAGTATGTCAGACTCTGGCAGACCTCTAAGGAGATAGCTATATCAGGCTCCTGTCAGCATGCACTTCCTGAGATCCACATCAGCGTCTACCTTTGGTGACTGCACATGGGATGGATACCCAGGTAGAATGGTCTCCAGACGGCCCCTCCTTCAGTTTCTGTCCCACACTTTGTCTCCATATTTGCTCCCATGAGTATTTTGTTACTCCTTCTAAGAAGGTCCGAAGCACCCTCACTTGGTCTTCCTTGTTCATGAGCTTCATGTGGCCTGTGAGTTGTATCTTGGATATTGTGAGCTTCTGAGCTAATATCCAATTATCAATGAGTGAAAACCATGTGTGTTCTTTTGTGATTGGGTTACCTCACTCAGGATGATATTTTCTAGTTCCATCCATTTCCCTAAGAATTTCTCGAATTCATTGTTTTTAATAGCTGAGTAATACTCCATTGTGTAAATATACCACATTTTTTGTATCCATTCCTCAGTTGAATGACATCTGGGTTCTTTCCAGCTTCTGGCTATCATAAATAAGGCTGCTATGAACATAGTGCAGCATGTGTCCTTGTTATATGTTAGAGCATCTTCTGGGTATATGCCCAGGAGTGGTATAGCTAGGTCCTCAGGTACTGCTATGTCCAATTTTCTGAGGAACTGCCAGACTGATTTCCAGAGTGGTTGCACCATCTTGCAATTCCACCAACAATGGAGGAGTGTTCCTCTTTCTCCACATCCTCGCCAGCATCTACTATCACCTGAGTTTTTGATCTTAGCCATTCTGACTGGTGTGAGATGGAATCTCAGAGTTCTTTTGATTTGTATTTCCCTGATGACTAAGGATGTTGAACATTTCTTTAGATGTTTCTCTGCCATTCGAGTTTCCTCAGTTGAGAATTCTTTGTTTATCTCTGTACCCCATTTTTAATAGGGTTATTTGGTTGTCTGGAGTCTAATTTCTTGAGTTCTTTGTATATATTGGATATTAGCCCTCTATCGGATGTGGGATTGTTAAAGCTCTTTTCCCAATCTGTTGGTTGCCTTTTTGTCCTATTGACAGTGTCCTTTGCCTTACAAAAGCTTTGCAATTTTATGAGGTCCCATTTGTCAATTCTTGACCTTAGAGCATAAGCCATTGGTGTTCTATTCAGGAACTTTTCCCCTGTGCCCAAGTATTCAAGGTTCTCCCCCACCTTCTCTTGTACTAGTTTCAGTGTATCTGGTTTTATGTGAAGGTCCTTTATCCACTTGGACTTGAGCTTTGTACAAGGAGATAAGAATGGATCGATTTGCATTCTTCTACATGCTGACTTCCAGTTGAACCAGCACCATTTGTTGAAAATGCTGTCCTTTTTCTACTGGATGGTTTTAGCTCCTTTGTCAAAGATCAAGTGACCATAGGTGTGTGGGTTCATTTCTGGGTCTTCAATTCTATTCCATTGATCTTCCTGACTGTCTTTGTACCAATACCATGCAGTTTTTATCACTATTGCTATGTCAAAGAAAGTGCAAAATGCAAAAAGCTCCTAATCCAAAACATCCAGGAAATCCAGGACACAATGAGAAGACCAAACCTAAGGATAATAGGTATAGATGAGAGTGAAGATTCCCAACTTAAAGGGCCAGTAAACATCTTCAACAAAATTATAGAGGAAAACTTCCCTAACCTAAAGAAAGAGACGTCCATGAACATACAAGAAGCCTACAGAACTCCAAGTAGACTAGACCAGAAAAGAAATTCCTCCCGTCACATAGTAATCAAGACATCAAATGCATAAAACAAAGAAAAAATACTAAAAGCAGTAAGGGAAAAAGATAAAGTAACATATAAAGGCAGACCTATAAGAATTACACCAGACTTCTCACCAGAGACTATAAAAGCCAGAAGAGCCTGGACTGACATCATACAGACCCTAAGAGAACACAAATGCCAGCCCAGACTACTATACCCAGCAAAACTCTCAATCACTATAGATGGAGAAACCAAGATATTCCATGACAAAACCAAATTTACACAATATCTTCCCACAAATCCAGCATTTCAAAGGATAATTGATGGAAAACTCTAACACAGGGAGGAAAACTACAACCTAGAAAAAGCAAGAAAATAATCTTCAAACAACCCCAAAAGAAAATAGCTACACAAACATAATTCCACCTCTAATAACAAAAATAACAGGAAGCAGCAATTATTTTTCCTTAATATCTCTTAACACCAATAGACTCAATTCCCCAATAAAAAGACGGAGACTATCAGACTGGATACATAAACAGGACACAGAATTGTGCTGCATACAGGAAATGCACCTCAGTGACAAAGACAGACACTACCTCAGAGTAAAAGGATGGAAAATAATTTTCCAAGCAAATGGTCCCAAGAAACAATCTGGAGTAGCCATTCTAATATCAAATAAAATCAACTTTCAACCAAAAGTAATCAAAAAAGATAAGGAAGGACACTTCCTACTTATCAAAGGAAAAAAATCTACCAAGATGAAAATCCCAGTTTCAAATGTGGGCTATATCCCTGTGAATTGTAGGAAGGCCCTAAAGGCCCCTAAACAATACAGGCTGTTGCCATTGCTTTTGGTTACCTACTAGAACTAGATGTCCAATATTGAAGAGTCCACGTATTTTGTTGCAAGATAGATACACTGAAATCTAGCTGGAACTGAGCTAGAAGCTTCCTCTCCAGATGTCTTAGTTACTTGCTGTGAAGAGACACCATGATCAAGGCAACTTATTAAAGCATTTAATTTTAGGGTTAATTACAGTTTCAGAGAATGATTCCATGACCACTGCACTAGGGAGCATGGTGGCAGGCAGGCATGGTGCTGGGACATAGCTGAGAACTTACATTTTATGACAACAACCATGAGGCAGAGAGAGAAAGAGGGAGAGGGAGTGGGAATGGAAGAGTGTAATGGCTTGTTCTCCTGCTCTGGTCTGTGGGTCAGGGCCTAGCAAGAGAGAGAGTGGGGACAGAGACACAAAGAATGGAGACAAGACAGGGAGTCTGATCTGGAGACGAAGTCTGCTGAGTCTGCTTTGGAGATGGAGTCTGCCTCTGTTCTCTCCTCAAGTCTTTCCTTTTATATCTCTCCTCAAGTCTCGCCTTGAGTCTCGCCTTTAATCTTTCCTTGAGTCTTGCCTTGAGTCTCGCCTTGAGTCTCTCAAGTGCTGGGATTAAAGGCGTGTGCTACCACTGCCTGGCCTTGATTGAAAGGATCAAGATAATTATCAGTGTGCTCAGCTGTTGTAGGCTGTTGAAAACAAGTCTCTTGTCAGGGTATATGGCTCAAGATGGCTGCAAAGATGATAGCCGCTTTCTGCTCAGAGTCGGCTCCCAACAGGAGAGGGAGAGAGAGACAGAGACAGAGAGACAGAGACAGAGAGACAGACAGAGACAGAGCTAACTGAGAATGAACATGGGCTTTTTGAAACCTCAAAGCCTTCTCCCAGTGACATGGCTCCTCTAACAAGACCATACCTCCTAATCCTTCCCAAACAGTTCCACCAAATGTGGGCCAAGAATTCAAATATATCTGAGCTTATGTGATCCATTCTCATTCAAACCAAGGCAGCTGACTAGCTTTCACAGTGCTGGAAGGTTCTATGCCAATTGCTGGAAGAAAGTTGTTGTCAGCATTCTTACTCAGCTGTGTATGCTGTGTGCTAAACTACCAACATGATAGGCAAGATTGCCCACAAGTACAATAGTGGTATAAATGTTATGGGGGCAACTGACTGCCTTCTGATTGGATCTGAGGACTTTTCCTCAGGGAGAATTCATTTCTGGTACTGTAAAACTGGTTAAAAGCCCATAACTGTATAAGTCATTTGCCCTTGTAGAGAAGCTATGCTCACAAAGCCCTGCCCTTCTCTGAGGATTTGTGGACAGTTGATGACTGCTGGGGAGGAGGGGCCCATGAGGCTTCACCTGCGGACATGGAAGCAGTCACTAGCTGCTGTAGGAAGAGAGGGGCATTTCTCTTAGTGGTTATCTATCCACTGGAAAGTTCCCCGTCTTCCTATAAATGACCCCTCATCCTTGCCTTTAGAAGTAACCCTGAATAAACTCACTGGCGCTCTCTCTCTCTCTCTCTCTCTCTCTCTCTCTCTCTCTCTCTCTCTCCCTCTCTCTCGCTCTCTCTCTCTCTCTCTCTCACACACACACACACACACACGAGAAGGAAGGAAGGCTAATGGAAAAGAGGAAGGGGATGCGTGGGAGTGGGAAGGGGACAAAGGGGACAAGAGAGAATAATGTAGGGTGAGTATAAAATGTATTACATGTGCATGTGAAAATGTCATAATGTAGAGTGAGTATAAAATACATTACATGTGTATGTGAAAATGCCATCAATGAACCAGTTATTGTGTATAACTAACATGTGCTAGTAGAAACTTTCATAAAAGAGAAATATATCAAGTCTGGTTTAAAGACATTCAAGTGTTGAACTCAAAAGGAGAAAGAAAATGTCCTGATTATATCTTGCTTTCTTCCTTCCACGGCAGATCCTTGGCCTCTCCTCTTAGCCTTACTGTTCATTTGAGCTTTACAGTTAGACATTTCTGTGAAATATACTTCAGCTTAGTCTTTGTGCTTACAGGGAATACCTGGCCCTCAATGTGTATGTGGCCCTCTGCTACTACAAGTTGGATTACTATGATGTGTCTCAAGAAGTCCTGGCTGTTTACCTTCAGCAAATTCCTGATAGTACCATCGCCCTCAACCTTAAGGCCTGCAATCACTTTCGCCTTTATAACGGCAAAGCAGCTGAGGTAGGCACACAGATGGGTTTCTAATGAGCTCAGTTGTAATAGGAGTTACTTCATACACTCTAGGACCTAGGCTCTGTATTAGTGCTCCTTTTTATTGCCAGTGTGATTCTATAACCAAATAGGTGTATAAACATTTTTTCAGGTAGGGTCTCACTCTTGACTCTGGCTGTCCTCCAACTCCCTATGTAGACTATGCTGACCCTGACCTCACACAGATCTGCCTGCCTCTCCTTCTGAAGGGTTGGCATTAAAGGTGTGCCACAAAATGCCTTGCCCTATATGAACTAAGAAACAAAAACAAAAAAAAACAAAAAAAAAAAAACCAACTGATATCCTAAAAGGAATTTCATTTCTGAATGATATATGATATTTTTATCTAGTGTATTTTAGATAGTTTTACCTAGATGACATATGTTAATATAAATGTTTAAAACCAAATGCTTCAGCTCCTTTCTCTGAAGTCTGTCCGTAGCTCAGAACATTTCTCTCCCTCTCTCCTTCCCTTTGTCTCCCACTTTTCTCAGGGGCCATTGGATTTAGTGCTACTATGTGTTCACATCTGTTGAGTTGATAATCTGGTGAAGTTAAGAACTCCTCAGATGTTGTTTAGATCAGGCTTTATCTACACTTTTGCATTGTTGCCTTCTTACATACGTGTTCCTCCCATGTGTACTGTTTGGTGTTGGGGCCAGACCATCATTGGATCTTACTGTATAGCTCTGGCCAACCTGGAGCTCCAGAGCCTTCCGTCTCAGTCTCCTACGTGTGTCTTGTACAGGCAGGAGCCACCATGCCTGACTTAAACACTCTGATTTTACAAAACACATTGTGAATTTACAAAACACAGGTATGAAGTTCTCAAAGAGTAAATAATATGTATATTAAAACTCTTTTTTTAATTGGATATTCTTTATTTACATTTCAAATGGTATCCCCTTTCTTTGTCCCCCCAAAACCTCCTATCCCATTCCCCCTTCTTTTTTTTTTTTTGTTTGTTTGTTTTGTTTTGTTTTTTGAGACAGGGTTTCTCTGTATAGTCCTGGGTGTCCTGGAACTCACTCTGTAGACCAGGCTGGCCTTGAACTCAGAAATCCGCCTGCCTCTGCCTCCCAAGTGCTGGGATTAAAGGCGTGCGCCACCACCGCCCGGCTCCCATTCCCCCTTCTATGAGCGTGTTTCCCCCACCCACCTACCAACTCCTGCCTCCCCCTACACTGGGAATTCCTGGCATTCCCCTATACTGGGGCATGGAGCCTTCCCAGGACCAAGGGCCTCTCCTCCCATTGATGCTCAACTATGCCATCCTCTGCCACATATGTATCTGGAGCCATGGGTCCCTCCATGTGTACTCCTTAGTTGGTGGTTTAGTCCCTGAGAGCTCTGAGGGGTCTGGTTGGTTGATAGTGTTGTTCTTCCTATGGGGTTGTAAACCCCTTCAGCTCCTTCAGTCCTTTCTCTAACTCCTCCACTGGGGACCCCATGCTCAGTCCAGTGATTGACTTTGAGCATCCCCTCTGTATTTGTCAGGCTCTGGCAGAGCCTTTCAGGAGACAGCTATATCAGGCTCCTGTCAGCATGCACAGTAGTGTCTTGGTTTGGTGACTGTATATGGGATGAATCCCCAGGTGGGGCAGTCTCTGGATGGCCTTTCCTTCAGTGTACATTAAAATTCTATACAGCAGAGTACTGCCAGGTCTGGGTTCAGTCAGAAAAGATGCACCTAGCCTTCAAGAGACTGGAGGCCCCAGGGAGTTTAGAGGTCTGGTGGGGTGGGGGTTTGGGTGGGAACATCCTCGTGGAGACAGGGAGGCGGGGAGGAGGTATGGGAGGGTGGACTGGGAGGGGAATAAAATCTGGAGTGTAAAAAAAAAAAGAATAAATAAATAAATAAGCCCTACATGATACAGGAAGATTAAAAAAATATATCTGCTTCTATGAGACTCATAAAACCTCCAGTTCAAAAATGGCTTATATGACTTTTTCCCTGGATCTGTTTTCCCTTTCACTTTTGACACAACTCTACTTTCTTGCCATTTTTTTCAGTATGGTTTAAAATCATCTTGCTTTGGTTTGGGTTTTCTCTTTCTTTCTTTCTTTCTTTCTTTTTTTTTTTTTTTTTGGTTTTTTGAGACAGAGTTTCCGCTGGCCTTGGACTCAGAAATCCGCCTGCCTCTGCCTCCCAAGTGTTGGGATTAAAGGCGTGCGCCACCACTGCCCGGGTTTGGGTTTTCAAGAGAGGATTTTTCTGTGTAGCCCTGGCTGTCCTGGAACTCACTCTGTAGACCAGGCTGGCTTCAAACGCAAAGATTTACCTGCCTTTGCCTCTGCCTTCCAAGTGCTGGGATTAAAGGCATGTGCCACTACTGCCCCACTTGTTTAAAATGTTTTAATAATTCCTCTATTATGTTTGTAAGTTTTTTCAGTAAGATCATTAAACTGAATAATCTTCAATACTGTAAAGGTGTGCTCTGTGGTCTCTGGGTCCCTAAGCACTTTGCAGAGGCTAGGAGACAGGCCAAGGTTTGAGTGTGGCTGACAAGCTGCCTGGGCACAGTGTTGTCACTCTCACCACATGCACAGAGTGAATAGCCTCTTCTTAGATGCTGCCCCTAGGGACTCACTTGTCACCCTTTGTACTTCTGGCCCTGCCATGACAGGAGCCCTCTATTAAGCCAGGTATTATTAAGAGGGCTGGGAGGCAGTCACAGCATGAGAACCACAGAACTCACTTGCTGATGAGTGGTGCTGAGATTGCAGCCTCAAGACGTCTCAGAGCTTGCTAGCAAGCAAGACTAGCCAAACATCCTAAGAACAGGTGGAATTGGGTATAGATAATCCATATCATATTAGTGAACAAAGCTTGTGGAATGGAATCTCTTCTGAGAAGAAAAAGAATTTCCCTTGCATCAGGTCATAGACAGAACATCTTATGTATACTACAGATGTTTCGAAAACCATGTTTTTTATGGTTTCAAAATTATCATGAAAGAAGAAATAATCCCATGTCATTGTTGTGTATTGGTGACACACAGACTTTTTCAAGGCTGTATTTGAAGTAAACATGAAAGTGATGGTGGCAGTGGTATCGTTACTAACTTGTCCTCCAAAGCAGTAGGGACATTTTTTGATTATGCTTGTATTGGAAAACAAGAATAACAAATGGTAACATGGAGATGGCCTTCCAGTTGTCATCCTTTCTTCAGGTTCCCTTCCTGTCTGGAGCTCACAGTGACTTTTTAACAAAAATCACCAATTAGAGAAAGAGAGAAAAAAAAACTCAGAGAGAAACAGAAAGAGACAGAGAAGGGGAAAGAGAGAGACACAGAAAGGGGGGGACTTATGTGTGGAAAGTGTGAAACAGAGCCAATCCCTTTGTGTTGGGTAATATCGTTTTTGGTTTTTTGTTTTTTGGTTAGCTGATTGTTTTTTGTGGTTTCTCTGTGTAGCCTTGGCTATCTAGAACTCACTGTATAGACCAGGCTGGCCTCAGACTCACAGAGATCCACCTGCCTCTGTCTCCCAAGTGCTGGGATTAAAGGTGTGTGCAACCACTGGTCCACTTGGTAAATATAGTTTTTAAAATAATAATTTATATTAGCATATAATGAATTACTTACTTTTATTTACCAATTATTTAGTTTTCTGTTTTGTCTCATAAAACCCACAGAAACGAAAGTCTCAATTTTAAGTTTGATATCATTAATAATCTTTTAGAGATTTTACTTTATTAAATTTTTTTTTGTAACAGGGTCTCACAATGTAGCACTGGCTTTCCTGGAACTCACTATGTAGAGCAGGTTGGCCTAAAGCTCACAGAGACCGGTCTGCCTCTGCCTCCCAAGCTCGGATTAAGGCCATGCACTACCATCCTAGCTTATTAAACATTTTTTATTATCTTTATATTTGTATGTGTACCATGCCCATTATATAAGTGACATCAGCATACAACTTGCAGGAACCTAGACTTTTTTTCTATCGTGTTGTTTTTGGGATCGACCGTAGCTCTTTGGGCTTAGTCACAAGATTCTTTCTTTCTTTGTTTTGTGTGTATGCCTGCACACGTGTATGGCTGGTATGTTATGGTTGGGGAACAAGTTTTGGAAGGTCGTTTCTCTCTGTCCACCTACTTTTATTTCTGCTACTGTGCTGCATTTGCAAGCTTCCACTCGTGCTGGGGCTGAGGCTGTGGAGCCGCCACAGGTGGGTTCAGGTTAAAGGAGGGAGAAAACAGGGGAGGTGATGGTACGACAAACAGGAAAGCAGAGGGATGAGACACTTGGACTGGATCCTGTAAACAAGGTCAGTTGAGCACACAGGAGGGAACATTAGAATGCACACTCAGAAGCCTGAGTGGACAGATGGCTCGTGCACTGCTCTTACAGCGGATCTGAGTTCAAGTCCCAGCAACCACATGTGGTAGCTCACGGTCACTGTGACTCCAGCTCTAAGGGATCCGATGCCTTCACTCTCTGAGGGCACCCACCCCCACATAAAGATACCCACACAGAGACACCTAATTAAAAATAAAATAACAGAGAACAAGAATCAGTGATGTTCAGCCTTCCTAATGCTGCTACCCTTAATACATATAGTTCCTCATGCCATCGTGACCTACAGCCATACAATTATTTTTGTTGCCATGTCATAACTGCAATTTTGCTACTGTTATGAATCATAATGTAAATATCTGATATACAGGATATCTGATATGTGAACCCTATGAAAGGGCTGTCCAACTCCCAAAGGGGTCTCGAACCACAGGTTGAGAACCAATGACTTCACTAATAGGGAATGAGGAAGGACTGAATGCAGGTAACGGGCATGAATTATGACAGAGGATATGACATGATTGGTTTTCTAGTCTTATTTCTGTCGTGGACTTCTTTGGTTTTGGCAGTGAATACGTGCATAAAAATGTATTTGATAGTAAAATTGTAAAATTCAACATGAAGCTCTATGGATTCAGAACTGCGTACAAATTATATACAAGTATCCGTGGCTCACCTGCATAGATGCTGTACAGAAGTTCAAGGAATTGGATAGCGTTAATTTTGGTGTGTGGTTTTTTTTTTGTTTGTTTGTTTGTTTTTTTTTTTGGTTTTTTTCGAGACAGGGTTTCTCTGTGTAGCCCTGGCTGTCCTGGAACTCACTCTGTAGACCAGGCTGGCCTCAAACTCAGAAATCCACCTGCCTCTGCCTCCCAAGTGCTGGGATTAAAGGTGTGCGCCACCACCACCCAGCTTGGTGTGTGATTTTTATTGCAAGTTTTTTTTTTAAATAATAAAGTTTATAAAATGAAAAGAAAAGGCTGTGGGTGCAGTGGAAAGACTGAAACAATGAGAGGCTTCTTCTCCAGGCCTTGACACTGAGGATAAGGACTGACCCTAGGAGTCCTAAGACAGGAGCAGTTTCTAAACCTCCTACTCAGTGTGAGGCTTGAGGCACTTAACTCTTTTGGAAGGTTCATGGCCCCAAACTTACGTATAGCCAACGATGACCTTGGACTGACCCCTTGTGCCTCCACTTTTAGAGTCCTGAGACTACAGGTGTGTGCCACCCCTCCCAGTTATAAGGCGCTCAGGATCAAACCCAGGGCTCCCTTCTTGCTAGGCAAGCATGCTACAGGACTACATCCCCAGCCTCCAAAACACTTAACTTTTTTTTTCTAACACTTTTGCTTATAGGACTCAGTGATGTCATCTGTAAAATGTAGATAATAATCACACTGTCCCAGAGTCCCCGGGATCAAATGACATAGCATGTTAAACTCTTTGTAAACTATAGAGCACTAGATAGGTATGTGCCATAAGAACTGTACGATTGGGCTAGAGAGATCAGCCAGTGGTTGCAAGTATAGACTGCTCTCGCAGAGGACCTGAGTTGAGCTCCCAGAGCCCGTGTTGGATGGTTAACACCCACCTGTAACTCCAGCTTGAGAGATATTCCATGCTTCTAGTCTTAGAAGAAGACTGTGCTCAAGTGCAGATATACACATAGATACACATAATTTAAGAAAATAGCAAGTTGGGTGTGGTGGTGCATGTTTTTAATTTCAGCATCAGGAGACAGAGGCAGGCAGATCTCTGTGAGTTAAAGTCTAGCCTGGTCTACATAGCAAATTCCAGGCCAGCCAGGGTTACATAGAGAGATCTGAAAAAAAAATCAAAATAAATAAATATAATAACAAAGTAAATCTTAGAAAATAAGAACTGTATGCTTATTACTTTGACATGCCTTTCCTTTTTATTTTTCAGGCAGAGCTCAAAAGCTTGATGGACAACGCTTCTTCACCCTTTGAATTTGCTAAAGAACTCATCAGACACAATCTGGTGAGGAAGCTTCCCAGCTTGGTTGACTTGGTACATCATAGCAACTAAAGATGAATAAAAGGAAACACCCCAACAAATGCTGCACTACTCCAGGGAGTGCTGCCTTACTGTGGATGAGATAAAAGGGGTTTCAAACACCAGTCTCTTATTAGGAGGACAGAATGTGGATCACATTTGGAAAGAAGGGCAAGGCATGGAGACTCAAGTGTTTCGTGTACTTGGGAAAAAACAAAGGAACATATTCTCATGGTTAGAATAATGGGACAATTGCTTCATGCTTGAGGGTTCATTTAGTCTAGGACATGAGTGTAGAACAAGTATGACGTGTGGAAGATGACCAGAGGATGATTGTACTAGAGAAAGTGGAGAGTGGCTAATGGGTTTAGGCCTGGATTGTGATGGCTTTTGCTTAAATGAAATCTAAGCTCACATGAAATGGTGGCCTATCATCATGCACCACAGTGAAATGCAGATTGTATGCTTCTGAGTGAGGCACCTGGGAGCACAGAGCCAATGGCTGTGTATGGTGAGTCCATCTTCCCCATCGGAAAACAGTGACAGAGAAACTTCAGCTTCTCCTGCTCTGTCTGTTTCTTCTTCCCCCACCTTCTCCTCTTCCTCCTCCTCTTGTTGAGACAAGATCTCACTATGCAGCTCTAGCTGGCCTGCAATCCTGTATAAATACAGGCCAGGGTGGCCTGGATCTCAGATCCAGCTGTCTTTGCCTCTCCAGGGTGGAGACTAAAGCATATGCCACCACACTCAGCCCAGCCTACTTTCTGAGGTTATGTGTGGAATTTTACACTCATGGCATCAGCAGCAGCACCACTTAAACATTTTCAGGTCCTGGCTTTTTTGATTAGGGATGTTTGACCTGTAGTAACCAGCCCTTATCTGCTGAACCAGATTGTTTTTTGATATTTCTCTATAACACCCACAATCTGGTAAAATACCAATGGTGCTGTAATTTTTACCACCATCTTAAAGCCAGCAGTGTCAAACTACAGATAACCATGGAAGAACAACAAAAAAGTCCCTTACATTATGTTAAAGAGGTGAACTTGTGATTTAGGATCGTGGGTTGACTAGGGTGCCAGAAGCAAAGGACAGACATGGGGAGACTGAGGAGGGCAGGGAAGAGGAAGTCAGCAGTCAGCCACAGCGTTTGGAGTTTAGCATTGAGGGAAAGAAAAATAGGGCGTTCTCAGGAGGGAACGAGTGGAGATTTTACACAAGAACAAAGTCCCTTGTGTGTACTTGAAGTTGAGAGTAGGCCGAGACTTTGGGAAGGCTGAAGAAGATACAGCGATTAATGGAGACAGAGTCCAGGTAGAGTTAGGAGTCAAGGGTCAAGGCAGATGAAGAAGTCTCCTTGTGAGAAACCAGGAAAAAAATCATCAAAATTAGTATTCTGAGGTGGGAAAATTTATACTTCCTGCCTTTTGCCTTCACTTCAGTGTATCAGGACAGTTTTCTGTGTTCTGAACACTTGCTAGGCTCTGGAAATTGAATAGTGTTTCTAATGGCTTTAAAAGTTTTGTTACGTTTATTTCTATGTGTATGTGTGGGCATGTGTTTTCATGGTGTACATGTGGACTTGTGGCAGTCAGAGAACAATTCTCTGGAGATGCACATATGCGTCCAGGAGATTGAACTCAAGTTGTCCATCTTGGCAGCAAGGGCCTCTACCTGCTGAGCCGTCTCACGGGCTCTGTTTTGCGTTTTAACTTTATAACACTATCATCTGACAATAGACTTGCTTGCTTTTCTTTTATATATATGTATTTTTTTAAAGATTTATTTACTTTATTTATGAGTACACTGTAGCTGTCTTCAGACACACCAGAAGAGGGCATCAGATCCCATTACAGATGATTGTGAGCCACCATGTGGTTGCTGGGAATTGAACTCAGGACCTCTGGAAGAGCAGTCAGTGCTCTTAACCGCTGAGCCATCTCTCCAGCCCCTCTTTTATATTTTTAATCACATTTGTTAACTAATTTATTATATGTGCATGTATGCATGTGCAAGCATGTGCACATGGCATACATGTATGTGGTAGTCAGAGGATGACTTGTAAGAGTCAGTTCTCACCTTCTATCATGTGGGTCCCACGGATTGAACTCAGCCTTCTAGTCTGGTGACCAGCACCTTTGCCTACTGAGTCATCTCACCAGCTCTTGTTTGCTTTCTGAAGGGCTCTCCATACTTGAATAATTTATGTGGTTGCAGGGGAGTCCTGCTGTAACCCCAGTGCTTAATACGGTAGCAGACATATAGGTTCTAATGAACATTTGCAGAGTTAAATTTAATTACCTACTATAAGCCATACAGCCATTTAACTCATGTAATTGATAATAATTACATTGAGAAATGGGGAAACGGCTCTGAAAAGTTATATAAATGCCATCATGGGCTTTTTACTTTTGTGATGCTGTGGTAATACGGTTTCCCTGTGAAACTCAATCTAGCCTTAGACTTGAACTAGCTTGCTCTTCTCACACTTGCCTCCCGAGTACTGGGATCACAGGTGCACACCAACTCTCCCGTGCTGCTTTGTGTTTACAGTGACGAGCATACATAGCCCCAGAGACACCACAGTGACACTTCTGCTCTCTGCACAGGTTGTTTTCCGAGGAGGCGAAGGGGCTTTGCAGGTTTTACCTCCCCTGGTTGATGTCATTCCCGAAGCTAGGCTAAACCTAGTGATTTACTACCTTCGTCAAGGTAAGAGAAATTTGTCATGTTCTGACATGATGAAAAAATATTTTTGAACATTTAATATGACTGAATTAGTTGTATACATTGTAAATACATAACATTTCCAAAGATATATTTGCACCAAGTTCATGAGACAAAACAAATTGAATGGCACTTAGCAGGTGTGCCTTTTCCTCTTTGGTTCCTTCTTCTCCCTCTTCACACCTCTCCTCCTTCCTCTTCATACCCCTTCTGCTCCCTCAGTCTGTTTTCCGTTTCTTTGTCTTACCGTTTTGTCCTTGGCTCTCTGTCAATTACCTTTTGGATCATCAGTTTTTTCCCTTACTTTCCTTTTCCTGATTGCCTTTTATGAAAATGTGCATTCCCATCAGGCACTTGTACACACCTTTAATCCCAGCCCTTGGGAGGCAGAGGTAGGTGGATCTCTGTGGGTTTGAGGCTAGCCTGGTCTACAGAGTGAGTTCCAGGACAGCCAGGGCTACACAGAGAAACCCTATCTCAGCAAAACTGGGGAGGGGGGAGCGAAGAAGGAGAAGAAAAGAAAGTGCATATTCACATTTTCTTGTTTTTAAATTATCAGCATTTGTGTTTGCTCAAAGCATCTGTGTCTCTTGCTTTGTAGCCCAGGTGTCTTACGGGAAATGTGATGTGATATCTAATGTTCTCATTGTTGGAAACATTTTTGGAGCAGCTTTTCTCAGAACTTACCAATACTTGGCTATAGATCTTAAACTTATAGTGTGTTTTTTTCAGGTGTGTGGTAGAGCCCAACCAGGCAATTTATTTCTCACTGAGAAAAATATGTTTATTTTGTGAGAACATGTCTTACAAACTGTCCTTTCTATATGATAGATAAGCAAAAAGAAATTTTTTAGGTATGAAAAATTGAATATATTCACAAATTATGAAAAATTTCTAGCATAAACAAAAGCAAATTGTAGAACCTCCAAAGACTTCAAATTAAATAATTTTTAAACTGGGTATGGGTGGCTCACACCTTTAATCTCTATGGTCAGGAGGCAGAGGCAAGTAGATCTCTGTGAGTTTGAAGCCAGACTGGTTTGCATAGTGAATTCTAGGCCAGCCAGCACTACACAGAGAGAACATGTCTACATTGTTATTCACTCTTACGTATATAATGTTTCTTTTTGAAAAAAGGGGGGAGACATTCTTCTTACTTAAATACAAATCCATTGACATAATATCCAGCCTACATTTTTTTTTAATGATAGGGTCTTTACAATAGTACTATCCTGGAACTCATTCTGTAGACCAGGCTGGCTTTGAATTCATAGAGATGCACCTGCTTCTGCTTCCTGATAGCTGGGATTAGAGGCATGTGCTACCATGCCTAGCCCAGGAACACCTGAGTGAGTTCCAGCTCCCGAACTCCTGTGCCAGGTGTAGTGTCAGACATTTGTAACACGGCACAGAGGAGATGGAGACAGGAGGATCCCTGTCTCTTTCTAGCAAGTCCTTCCAGCCTAATTGGTCTCAAAATGGGTGGACCATGTCCTTGAAGATGACACCAGATTGTCCTCTGGCCTTCACATACATTCATATGTGGCATACATACATGTATTTTTTTTAAAAAAAATAATAGTTTTCTTTAGGATAGCTACACAACCTTGAACTTGAAGGAGAATTAAGGGTCAAGTAATACATGGTATTCTCTCTGTGTCTGTCTCTCTATCTCTCAGTCCCTATCTCTCTGTCTCTCTGTGTGTCTCTCTCACGTGCGTACGTGCGTGCGTGCGTGTAGCCTTGCCCCTGCTGTAAAAGCAGTCTGTTACTAAGCTGCTCCCTCAGCCCTATTTTGTATGAGTCTTTGAGTACTGCGACTCTCAACTTTCTAGTGAGTGTTTGAGAGAGCGTTGCTGAAACACAAGCCCATGGAATGATTGACTTCTTACATTGCAGATGATGTGCAGGAAGCCTATAATTTAATCAAGGATCTGGAACCTACTACGCCTCAGGTAACTAGAGGTGCTGTACATTTTTTAGAACAAGTGCTATGGAGATCAGCACTGCAGATACACAGCTGTAAGCTGTGTCAGAGAAGACTCCTGTTGTAGACTCAAGGAGACCATATATGCTGATGGCTTTGTGGGACTTTGGGATGAGAATGAATGTGTTGAACTTTTTTTCTTTTTAAAGTGTAGCTCAAGTCCCTTAATATTCATTTAATTCCCTAAAAGGTCTAAACTTTGAAAATATTAAATCTGTTTTAAAAAATGAAATTCGGGGTTGGGGATTTAGCTCAGTGGTAGAGCACTTCCTAGCAAGTGCAAGGCCCTGGGTTCAGTCCTCAGCTCTGAAAAAAAAAAAAAAAGACAAAAAATGAAATCTGTAATTATAATGAATGAACAGCTACTCTATAAGTGTCTGCAACTTATCTTTTTTTCTTCAGTAGGCTGTCAGCGCCTTGCATTCAGGGACTGTGTCTCTATGGTATCTCCAACACTGTGTATACTAAGTACATAGAAAGCACCCGTCTTTTTCATTAACTACAAGACGGAATGAAGCCAGACTGGCTTGCCTATCAAGCCCCAGCAGTCTGCCTATTTTCACCTCCCCAGCACTAGAATTACAAGAGTCTTTTTACATGGGTCCTGGGGATTGAACTAGGGCCCTCATGTTACATGGCAAGCCCTTTGCCAACTGAGCAAACTCCAGCCTCTCACTGAATTATTTCTGCTTAAGACTGAGTTTTTACAATGATAAACTCTGCTGTATGGGCATTTGTCCTCTAGAAATCAAACCAGACTCCTCATCCTTCTGTAGCCAGGATACAGCAGAGAAAAGCCAGTCAGCATCTGAAGTAGAGTTGGTGAAAGGGGCCAACAAGAAAGCCCATGTAACTGTGTAACTGTGATTGGTGTGATTGCTTTTTCCCAGGAGTATATCCTCAAGGGAGTTGTCAACGCAGCCCTTGGCCAGGAAATGGGTTCGGTAAGTATGAAATCATGATAGTCTGTATTTGGCAAAGCTCTAGCTATGTAAAGACCACAATAGATGGTGACGTGCAACCAGTAACAAGCTCACACTCACTGGCCTCTTCTGTAGGCCCTTTTTTCTTTATTGTTGGGAGTCGGGTACTAGGAATCAAGCCCTTCTGCATGGTAGATTCTTGCGCTGAGTCACATCCTTTAATTCTTTAAAACCTCCAGTTCAGAATCTTTGCAAAAACAATTATATTGTGTAGAGATTTTTTTTTTAAAAAAGCTTTAACCATAAAACTTGCTATTTTGCTTAAAAGAGTGCCAATGTAATAGAGTTATTTCTTTTCTGACAAATACAAACAATGGATTTGGCATCGAGAACATGGGAAACTTCTTTCTCTAGAAAAGCTTTTGTTAAGGTACTGGAAACACACCCTTATGTCTTCTAAGAAGCTTTTCTTTTGTTTGTTTGTTTGTTTGTTTTTTCTGGGGCCAGTGCTTCTCTGGGCAGTCCTGGCTGTCTAGGAGCTCACTCTGTAGACCAGGCTGACCTAGAAGATCTGCCTACCTCTGCCTCCCAAGTTCTGGGATCAAGGTGTGTACCACCACAGCCTGGCCATTTGTTGTTGTTGTTCTTTGTTTTATTTTAATTTTGGTTTCTCTAGATAGGGTCTCATATCTTATATCCTCAGGATGGCCTTGAACTCACAGAAATCTTCAATCTTTCTGCCTCAGTCTCCCCAGTGTTTGGTTTAAAGAGCATCTTATAAGTATAAAAGCAGTTCAAAGTTAGGCTGCTCTTGGGCATGGTTCCACACACCTATGACTAGAGCACTTGGGAGGCCAAAGCAGGAGGATCCCATGTTCAAGAACAGCCTAGGTTACATAATGAAACCCTTTCTCAACAACAGGCAGACAGGCAGGCACACAGACAGACAGACAGACAGACAGGTAGATAAACTAAGGTTCTTATCCATGTTAATGTATTAAGTTCTTCATGACACAAAGGATGCAATAAATAAACCTTTCATCTCTGGGTCTCTCCATGTAGGCAGCAAATACTTACTGCTTAGATAAATGAGTCTAATAAGTACTTCTTGCTATGCCTCTAGCACCTATACAAAGTTCAGACACAGAGAGTTACATATTTGTTGAATGTATAAATTTACTTAATGCACGGATTTTAGAGTGGAATTTTGAGGTTAGAGCTTTTTCCTCTAACTGATTCTACCTGTGTTCACACAATTTTAGATTGTAATTTTCTAGATGCTGTGCTAATAAGAGCTTGAGCATGATATAACAAGGATGTTAAATGACGTACAGGAAAATGCACTATAGTCATAAGTACAATATAAATCAAATCTTTGTGCCTGCTGCCTCTCTATGAGTTCTGTTCTGTTTTGCAGAGGGATCATATGAAAATTGCTCAACAGTTTTTCCAGTTGGTAGGAGGATCAGCTAGTGAATGTGGTATGTCTATGATCCGTCCTTTTGAACACAATTCATCTTTGTAGTTGGGCAATATTGACTGGTGGAGTCTGTCTGTCTAGAGATACATGTTCTACTTCTTGTTATGAAGCAAGAAGTTAGAAGTTGGAGAGGAAGGCTGAGGACATAGTTCTTCTTGTAGCTTGCTCACTTAGCACTCGGGAAGCCTGGGGTTTGATCCCTAGCCCCACTTTAAGCAGACATGATAGTTGGTACCTCTAATTCTACCTCTCAGGAAATAGAAACAGCACAATTAGAAGTTCAAAAAAAATCCTTAGCTCCACAGTGAAGGCCAGCCTGGGCTACAGGAGACCCTGTTGCAACAATCATATACATACACACACAGACACACACACACCCCAACACACTCAAATAATAAGCACAACAGTAAGAGAAAATATCAGCATTTTCCCTTTGGAACATGTCAGCAAAAGAGGATAAGAAAGGGCTGGAGAGACAGCTCGGTGGTTAAGAACATCAGCTGCTTCTACAGATGACTCAAGGTCAATTCCTAGTACCCACATCAGTTGATTCATAACTGCCCATAAGCCCAGCTCCAGGGTATCCAATATTTCCTTCTGGCCTCCACAGGCCCCTGCACTCACATGTGCACATAATTAAAATACAAATAACTTTGTTTTAAAAATTGGTTATGAGGCTAGAGAAATGGCGCATCAGCTAAGAGCACTGTTTGCTCTCACAAAGGACCTGAATTCAACTCCCAACACCCACATGACAACTCACAGCTGTCTGTAACGCCACTCCTAGGGAACTGATGTCTTCTGGCATCCATGGGATCCAGGCACACATATGATAAACAGACCTATGTTGAAGCAAAACACTCATACACATAAAAAATAAATAAGTACAATTTTTAAGAGTGATGTGAGAATAAATAAGCAGGAATAAATTTTCTTCTTAGTTCCTTAGAGTTGTAAATATAAATTAGTTTTAGTATGAAATGTTCTTATGGAGTTTTTAACAACTCCTTAGGTTGGCTTTGAACTTATAATCATCTTGCCTCTGGCTCCCAAGTGCTGGGATTACAGGCACATACCACCACATCCAGCAAAGCCCAACTTCAGAGCATATTTTGTTGGTTATAAAAATAGTTCCAGACTGAAGAGAAGGCTCGGTGGTAAAGCACTTATCGGCATGAGGACCTGAGTTTGGATCCCTAGCAGCCATAGAAACATGGTTGTAAGCATCTGTAACCCCAGTGTTCCTGCTGCGAGGGGGGGTGGAGACTGAGAATCCCCAGAAGTTTACCGGGCAGCTATCCTGACATATATGGACAAACTGCAAAGAATCTGACTCAAACAAGGTAGAAAGCACGGAACATGTAAGGTTGTCCTCTGACCCCCTCATGAATTCCATTGTACATACACCTGTACACAGATAAACATGCATACACATCATACATATACACACATTTGTCACACACATAAAAAAAGGAAAAGTTAAAAATAAGAGCCAGTTTTATCTGACATTAATTGGAAGGGAGAGAGGCTTGATGCACCAGCATAGGGAGAGGGGGGATAGAATGGGGGATGGTGGAGGGGTAACCAGGAAGGGTGATATCATTTGAAATATAAATGAATAAAATGATTAACAATAAAAAATAAAATAAAAATAAAAACAAAGTAAGGGCCAGTGAACTGAGTTAGTAGGTAACGTCATTTGTCTTTACCTACTGACCTGAGCTTGTTTGCCAAAACCCACATGATAAAAAGGGAGGAACAACTTTTACAACTTGTCCTCTGACCTCTGCGTGCCTACCATGCAGGTCCATGGACACACTCACATACAATTCAAATGTAGAAAAAATGTAATAAAATATACTTTAAATGTTGATGAGTCCACAATGCTGAGTCCATTAAAAAGAGAGAGAGAGAGAGAGAGAGAGAGAGAGAGAGAGAGAGAGAGAGAGGTGGCTTAGTGGTTAGGAGAGCCAGAATTTGATTCTCAGCACTCACAGCTGTTACTCTAGGCTCGGGGAATCTGATACCCTCCGCTAGCCTCTGTGGGCATCTGCATACATACGCATGTACATACACATGAGTAAAAACAAAATCTTTAAAAAGAGACAGGGTGCTGGGCGAGATGGCATATGCCTTTAATTCCAACAGTCAGGAGGCAGAGGTAGGTGAATCTGTGAGTTCGAGGCCAGCCTGCTCTACAGAGTGGGTTCCAGGACAGTCAGGGTTACACAGAGAAACCCTGTCTGAAATGAACCAAAAGAGGGAGGAAGGGAGAAGAGAGAGGAGTAAGTAAGTAAATAAGTAAACAAATAAATAAATAAAAATGTAAGTCCTGAGATTACAAGCATATACCACCACACTAAGTTTCTCTTGCTCTTTTTTCTATTAAAAAAAAATTAAATCTGGTGGGCGAGGTGGCACCTGTCTATAGCACTTTGGAGGCAGAGACAGGTGGATCTCTGTGGGTTCCAGGCCAGGCTGGTCTACCTAGCAAACAAGTGTGCTTGCTGAACTTATTGTTAACTTTTTAAAAAATCACTCCTGAAGATTCACAAATGTTTCACCAACACTATTTATTGAATAGTATTTCCTTTCTCTATTTTTTGATTTGTATGACAAAAACTTACTAAAGCTTTGAGAATGTAGCAGCAATTAAAAAAGAATCTCTGCCCTTGTGGGGTTCACAGTGTACTGAGACAGACAGACCTTGAACATAATACAGAAGAGATCATGGAGCATATCAGACTATGATAAACATTGAATAGCAGCATGAAGTCTTCAGAATGCCATGGGTGTGGATGGGGGTGTCATACTAGCATCTCCTATCTCAAATCGAAGTGTAAGATCAGAGATAAATGCTGGACCAGGTCAGAATCAGGTAGCCTCATGGCACATTATTGTGGCATTGTTATAGCTTGAAAGTGTTGGTTGTGTTGGACAGGTAACTATGGAAACTCGATTGAGCTGAGGTGTTAAGTTACACAGACTGAAGTCTCACAAAGGCGGTCTAGGGAACACCAGAATCAGTGTACTTTCCAGAGATACACTTCTTATGTACTTTGAGAGTTGACACTAGAGTCTGAGGCCAGAAGAATTTTCTTTTTCAGAATCAGGAATTAGAAAAAGGTCCTAATGCTGGGCAGTGGTGGTGCACGCCTTTAATCCCAGCACTTGGGAGGCAGAGGTAGGCAGGTTTCTGAGTTCGAGGCCAGCCTGGTCTACAGAGTGAGTTCCAGGACAGCCAGGGCTACACAGAGAAACCCTGTCTGGAAAAACTAAACCAAAAAAAAAAAAAAAAAAAAAAAAAAAAAAGAAAAGAAAAAGAAAAGAAAAAGGTCCTAAGATTCAGTATTTTATTTTAGACAGGATTTTACGATATAGCCCTGGCTGTCCTGGAACTCACTATATAGACCAGGCTGACTTTGAACTCACAGAGATCCACCTGCCTTTGTCTCCTGGTGCTGGTATTAAAAGTGTGTGCCACAATGTCCAGCTATGTTCCTGTTTCTAAATTCTACAGTGACTCGAATTTTAACTAAAGATACCTTCTGGTTGCATGAATTTCCATGGTTTCTTCCCCCTTTCGTCAACCCCATTTTAGATACAATACCAGGAAGGCAGTGCATGGCTTCATGTTTCTTCCTGCTTAAACAATTTGACGATGTCTTGATTTACCTCAACTCTTTTAAGGTCAGTATGAATTATCTCTTTGACTTTATGTGTGAAATACTCTACATGCAGTGTTAGATAGAAATGATGGCTTAGGGAGGAGAATTACAAGTTTGAAGCCCAATTGGATGTGGTGGTGGTACATGCCTTTAATCCTAGCACTCAGGAGGCAGAGGCAAAGGCAAGTTGATCTCTGTGAGTTCAAGGCCAGCCTCTGTATAGTGAGTGCCAGTTGGCCAAAGCTACATAGTGAGACTGTCTCAAAACAACAATAAAAAAAAGAACTAAAGACCAATCACAGTTACTTCTCTCCCACAAAATTTATATTAGATAGCCTCTTTTTCTCTGGTAGGATAGATGGCATCAAGGAATTAATCTAATTCTTTTTTTTTTTTTAAGACAGGTTTTTCTCTATTGTTCTGGCTGCCTTGGAACTCACTCTGTAGACCAGGTTGGCCTCGGACCCAGACATACACCTGCCTCTGCCTCCCAAATTTGGGGATTAAAGGTGTATGCCATACCTGGCTTAATTCCTCAAGGTTATTTCGATGGTGGCAGAAAAAAAGAGAGAAAGAAAGAAAGGAAGGAAGGAAGGAAGGAAGGAAGGAAGGAAGGAAGGAAGGGAGAGAGAAAA